TGCAAGAAAGTGATTTGATGAAAATATTCAACGACTTCCAATTAAAAATTTAAATATTGATAATGATAATTGAGGCTCGTTTGTTCATTAATGTCGTTTTTTAATACACATATTGAATTTATAATATTTAAATTAGTTGAGTTTAAGACTTTCTATTGAATTCAATCACTTCAAACTTTCATTTAGAATTTAATTTTGATAGATAAAAAAGAAAATGTTGTAAGATTCTAAACAAGAAAATAAAAAAGAAGTAAGATAAGAGTCACAAATATTTAAATAAAGTAAAATATGATTGTAAATAAAATAAATGTAAATTATAAGAGTAGATATTTAAATTGGAGTAAAATTATCATAAGCATCATAATAATTTCATTAATTAATTGATATTTACATATTTATTGTACCATAATCTTCTGTAGGAAATACATGAAAGTATATATATATAATACTCCTTAGACTTACAATTTTTTTATAGAAAAAAAAAAGTGAGAGATATGATGGTTTCAGGGAGGTGAGTGGAGAATAGAGGGTGAGAATATCATAGCTCTTAAAAAAATGTATGGGCAGGAAAAATTAAAAATAAATAAATAAATAATAACAAAAAGAAAATCCATCATACAGAATCACAGGCAACAGCCTCATACCTCTCTCTCTCTTCCTCTTTCCTTCTCTTACTTGCTGAGCAAAAGAAGAAGAAGAAAAAAAAAAAAAAAGCACAAAAAAGAAACATCCTCTGAAAAGAAAGGGAAAAAGAGAAGGAATGTTCACTCATCATCATCATCATCATCATCATCATCATCATCTTCTTCTTCTTCTTCTTCTTCTTCTTCTTCACCTTCCAATCCAAGCTAACTGATTTTTTTAGAGAGAGAAAGTGCGTTTGTGAAGTGAAGAACAGAAGATGGGTGGGGTGACTTCATCAATGGCTGCAAAGTTCGCATTTTTCCCACCCAACCCACCGTCATATAAGCTAATCAATGATGATGCTACTGGCCTCTTGCTCATGGACCCTTTCCCCCACCGAGAGAACGTCGACGTTTTACGCCTGCCCACGCGCCGCGGCACTGAGATCGTCGCCATGTACGTCAGGTATCCCATGGCTACCTCTACTCTTCTATACTCCCATGGAAATGCTGCTGACATCGGCCAGATGTATGAGCTCTTTATCGAACTCAGCATTCACTTGCGTGTCAATCTCATGGGGTGCGCTTCCTTACTCTCTATACTACTTCCCCTTTTGTTTTTCCACTACAACTTTTTTTCTTCAAATAAAACTTTAACATTTTTTAAGCTGAATTCTTTATGGTCAATTGCATGCGTTACTATTCTTGTTATGAAACTGCGAGATCAAGTTTCTCTTACAAAGAAGATGGTTTCTCTTTTGGGTTTTTTGTTTTTTTTTTTTTAACCGTAAAATTTTGCTTATTTAGCAACAGCTGCTTGTGGGTTTGCTTTCGTGGATTTAACTTTCTTTATGCATTGTGCTGGGGATTCGGGAGTTTAGGTGGGGAAATATGAGATTTTGGTTTAGTCTTAAGGATGGGTTGATGAAGATTGATATGTTTAAGTGGGTGAAAGAGAATGAACCCCTTTCTTATACTGTCATGGGATATTGAGATTTACAGGTTTAGATTGCTGATAGATCAAATCAAGTTAGTGCTTGGCTTCTTATTGTGGATCTATGTTTTTGCTCAACTTTCGGTCTTGTCAATCTGAATTTGGTTACTGCGTCTAGTACAATGTCTTAGAGTAATCAATAATTCAACTACAGATTTGGGAGTTAAAAATTATTGAGAATAACTCTGATACTTAAAATGAATATGATTTTACCTTAGTTAACGTTTGGATCTGGGTTTAACTCTGAAGTGGAGAAGCTTTGATGAATGACTTGGAACAGTTGGCAGATACAACTGTTCCTATCAGACATACTGAATACGGTTGTTAGTCATTATCTGCATATGTTATCTAGTAAGTTTCTTTTTTCCTTAATAGCATTAACTTAAGTTAGTATGAAGTCTTTCAATGACGGAAGACAAATATAGAGTGGTTTTCAATCATCTTTGCTGGAGGTCTCCTAATGTGTCCAAAACTTTCAAGGCATCCTTTTAATATCATACTGAATAACTGGAAAATTCAAATAGGCAACAACCTTGGAAGTTCATGTGGCAAGAAGGTGACTTTCATTTAGGTGGGCAATTTTGAATGATGATATTTTATTCTCTGTGAACTGCAAGTTGGCTATATTTTGTTGGATTTTCAATTCTTCAATGGGCCATAAAATGTCATTAATTTACATACAACCAAGAATTACGTGTAAAAAAATTTGAAAGCGTGTTTTTCATTTTGTATAGGTATGACTACTCTGGGTATGGGCAGTCATCGGGAAAGGTAATGTCCTATGAATTTTCAACTATATATTGTCCACTATAATCAGAAGGCTTTTTCTAAAGCTTATGGTCTGTCATCTTCCAGCCCAGCGAACAGAATACTTATGCAGATATTGAAGCTGCATATAAGTGTCTTGAAGAGAATTATGGTGCTAAGCAGGAAAACATTGTCCTATATGGTCAGTCAGTTGGTAGTGGTCCTACCTTGGACCTTGCTGCTCGGTTGCCTCGACTGAGAGCTGTTGTCCTACATAGTCCCATACTATCTGGGTTAAGAGTCATGTATCCTGTAAAGCGTACATACTGGTTTGACATATATAAGGTAAATATTATGTTCCCTAATAAATTGACTTCTATTGTAAACATATTTGCATATTCTGTTTTTAACATGATTATATGTTGTTCTTTTGCAGAATATTGACAAAATCCCATTGGTTAAGTGCCCTGTGCTAGTAATTCATGTAAGTACACCAAATTCATTATGTTAGCAGTTGCCAGTTGAATGGATATATTTCATAACATTTCTGCATTATGCATGGCTGTAGTTATAATATGATAAGTAAAAAACCAGTTTTTGCAGTATCACATAATAGCAGTTCAAGCGAAAAAGCTCGTACGTATTTGTCCATTATTTTACTACTTCAGGAATGATTTTAGGAATGAATTAGGGTCATTGAAGAGAAAAAAAAAAAAAAAAAAAAAAACACAAAAAGCCTGGAACTTGATCTTTCTGAAAATTGAAGTGTGAAGAAATAGAAGTGACAATCATGGTTTAATAAACCAATCTTGTGAAGATATTGTTGGCTAAGAAGGTCTTCACTTGCAAATTTGGCATTTTGACAGAGTGTATGAGTGATAACAATATTTGGGTAAACCCTTGGGATAAGTGTAATTCAACTTGACCAAGAGCCAAGTTGTTATAAACGTAGTTTTCTTTGTTATAAATTGGCAGATTTTAAAATTCCTGTGGTTCGTAGTTTGAAAACTTTTCTCCTAATTGATGCCCCCCATATCTCATTTGTCTCTTCGGATATAACTTGCTGCTAATATTTTGTTACTAGAATTACATCTCTAAAAGTTCCAAACCAATTTTGAAATGCTATTAACTAACTTTGTATCTTCAAATTACTCCAATAAGTGCGTGGTTTCATTGTTATCCCTCAATTATATAATTGGGAAACAATATGAAGTCCGCCCGCAGAGTCACAGACAGAAACAAAGAATTTTTAGGCATTTTGGTGAGTATAATAGTGCTCAAGGATAAGAAAATTGAGGAGTTTATCATCTTTACTTAGCAGAGCAATCTGAGTATCCAAATGTTTAAAGACAATTTTGTGATAATATATTTATTTTTGTTGTTTGACATTTTTTACTGCATTGCAATTCAGGGAACTGCAGATGATGTAGTTGACTGCTCTCATGGGAAGCAGTTGTGGGAAATGTGCCAAGAGAAATATGAGCCTTTATGGCTCAAAGGTGGAAATCACTGTGATTTGGAACTCTATCCGGAGTACATTAGGCATCTGAAGAAGTTTGTATCAACGGTTGAGAAATCACCATCTCGAAGAAGTAGTTGTAGGAGAAGTACAGATGGAATCGAACAGGGCAGACGTAGTACTGATTGGTTTGAAGGTCCAAGGAAGAGCACAGACCGTAGAGAGAAACCAAGGAAGAGCACCGATAGACCCGAAAAGCTGAAATATCATGAATACAAGTTTAGTAACATTGAGAAACTAGAGAAGTTAAGATTATCGTGTGATCAGATGGAGAGGTCACGGAGAAGCGTGGAATACCATGAGAAATCTAGGAGAAGCATTGATCAACAATTTGAAAGAGCACGGAAGAGCGTGGACTGGTTAGATAGAATTCGTGGATGATAAAGGCATTAAATCCTTAGTAAAATTTGTGAGTTTGTTGTGGTTGAAAGGTGAGAGAGAAAGTAGAAGAAGAAAAGGAGAGATGGGTAAATTGCTTGGGATTTTAACTTATTGGTTTAGGATTTGTGTGAAGTTGCAAAGTAACATGTTGTGTTAATGGATTGTAGAGTTTGATATATTTACTGGTTGTGATGGGTTTACTTTTATTGTTAGTGCAACACTTCTGACCTCTCTTCTTTCTTATTGTTTAAAGGAAATGAAGCTCATAATCTAATACCCTATCTCTCTATTTACAGCTTTCACTTCTTATGAATTTGTCAATTTACAATTTTGAACTGAACAACCTTTTTTTTTTTTTTTTATTTTATTTACATTCATAAGAAATTTTAATCCTTGGGAGCTGCAAGCTGAAAGAAAATTTTCTTTCTAGAATAATCTTTACAAATATTAAAATATTTGACTTTATTTCAAAAATTAAGATTTTATCTTATATATCAAAGTATATATGTTTTCTAAACTTTATAAAAACAATTTTTTTTTAATTCAAAATATATCATGAGGTATTTTAAAATAATTGAATCTATGATAAATTTTCAAAATTTTATTTAAAAATTCAAGTTTTAATTATATTATGAAATGATAAAAATTAATCGATAAATTTTTTTTAAATAAAATTAAAATAATATAATCGAAATTAATTGTTTTTTTTTTTATCATTTCATGATTAAAAAGTAGAGTTATGTTTTCTCATATTTAGAATTTATTTAAAATTGATACTTATTTTAATAAGAAAAAACAGAAATCTCGTCCAAAATAAAAAATTAAAATTAAAGGAATATATTCCAAATTGCATCATTTTCTTATCCCATTATCGATAATTTTTACTACCATTTAAATAAACAATGTTTTTAATAGCAATTTATTTAAAATTTTCCACTTCTAATTAATATTTTGAATAGTTTCCAATAGAATTAAAATAACTGACGTAATTTATCCATATTTAGCATAATTGGAATATAATTTTTTTATTCACATCATATATTACGGTTTTACTCGTAATTTCCCTTTTTTTTTTTTTTTTTTTTTCGAATCTGAATTAAATAAAAATATTTTATTTAAAATCCAAAATCTTCCACAATATCCCTGGTTGCCAACATCATTTTTCTCAATTCCCAAGTCTTACCTCGGAGGTTCGTGGTCTCTGTGGAACCCTAATTCAAATCAAAATCATCATCCAATTTGATAGTCATGCAAGCGTAATCAAGTTCTTTGCCTAATGCTTCTACTTTTCTGTTTGGTTACAGGGAAATTCTCAAATTATGTTAACCAGAAGCCTGCTTCGCTAATTAATTGGTGAAACTTTCAGGTCACAGGAAGAGAAAGCGAGGGACGCGATACGGCATGCCTTGAAAGCACTGCGTAAGCGGCATTTGGTGGAGGAAGGAGCTCATGCGCCCGCTTTCATCGCTCTTTCTAGGCCCATCATTTCTCAGGTCCTTACTCTCTCTTTTTTCATGTACGTATAACAATGAGCTCTTCAAGTTTCAACAAATTATTTAGGAGTTTTATCAATTTTTTATATTTGATCAAGTCAGTAGGTGCTTGTGTTACGTGGTAAAATAACTTGGATTCCACACTAAAGGCGACCGACTTTAATGTAGTATTTATCAGAGGTTAACCTCTCTCACCTTAATAGCTAGGGCGTGGTTCTCCTGAACTCATAACAATGATATCAGAGTCATTCACCATTTCTGGAGTTGCAATCTTGTGGCGCAAGTGATGACTTGGAGATTGCAGTGTTCACCCTATCTGTAACTTCGATCCCACACTGAAGGCGCAACACTTTGGTGTGAGATTTAACTTCTAGCGTGTGGTTCTGTTAAACTTATAGCACACGGAGCAGTAGAGGAAGATATCACAGAGAAGAATCCAATAGAATTAGATTTAACAGAGGGAGAGAGACAGGAATCAAAGAGAGCACAGATATCAGAAACAATTCTGATTTCATTCCTTGATGCCATTACTAGATACTTACTTCCACTTTTATAGTCCTCGCCTTTAACTAATCTACTAAATACCTAACTAACTGTTTCCCACATATCAATACTTCCCTCCCAGAAGTCACTTTGTCATAGTCCTAGCCTTTAACTACCTAACTAACTATTTCCCACATATCAATACTTTGCTCCCCACAGAAGTCACCTTGTCCTCAAGTTGGATGATGGAATTAAGGATTCTATTAGTTAAAAGTATAACTGGTTGTCCAAGCTAAATATTTATGCTTTCCGTTGTGTTCCCTCAGACTTGGATTTGTATGACTGGCTGGATGCTACTTGGATAAAATTTATTATATAACCAGACATCTTTCCAACAAATTCCTAGTTGTGAGTAGATTTTGATTGGAATTACTTGTATGGATCCTTCATCAATCACAGATTTCTTGAGCCTCTACCAAGATTTGCAGTTTAACCTTTTTAGCAAATATGTCTGAAAGTCCTTAGTAGGAGAAGACCTCCAGAAATGAAGATTTTGGTGGTCAAGGTTTGATCTACCACATATTTTCAGTATCCTGCTCCTATCAAGAGCCTTGTGTACACTCCAAACCATCTTCATCATTACTGGTGCCAAGCTGGTCTTTCTCATTGTTATTCCCAAACTGGCGGCAATCACTTTCTCCATAAATGCTGTTGTATTTTCCAAAGATACACTTGATTCAGACAAATTTTCTTACAAATCTTTATTTTCTTTATTTGAGTTGGCACCTGATTTCTCCCGTTCTTGATGTGCCAAGTTCTTATCTGAATCTGCCATCACGAACATGGGAGCATTGCAAGCCAGGATGATCAAGTTTTGTTTGATTTCACACAATTCTTTCTTTATTCCAAAGATTCCTTGCCTTATTTCACTCATTTCTTGCTTCATTATTCCCAAATTTTCATCCCATCTTTTTCAATATCACATGTTTTCCCATTTTCTTCATTTTCTTAGTTTCTTAGGAATAGATATTTCTATAGTTCTAATAGAACCAGAACTAGCTCTGATACCAATGATACACACAGAATTAAAGAACAGAGAGAGAGATAAATGGAGCAGTAGAGGGAGATATCACAGAGAAGAATCAGATAGAATCAGATTTAACAGAACTGGAGAGAGAAAGGAAGCAAAGAGAGGAGATAGCAGAAACAATTCTGGTACTATTTCTTGATGCCATTAGAAGATACTTCTTCCTATTTTATAGTCCTAACCTTTAACAAATAATACAAATTACCTAACCAACTATTTCCCACATATCACTACATTTACTTTGCTTCTGTTGGATAGTAGTGATTTCCCCATGTCCAAGCTTAGGCATGGATGGTGATTTAAGTTTTCATTCATGTTTACTGTTTACTTGTGATAAAATTCTTGGAATTCGATAAACCTGAGAGGAGTTTCTTCTTTTAGTTTGATTGAAGAGAGTTTAATTCCAGCTATTTCAGCCTAATTTTTCGATGTTAAACATATAGACAACCTTGTTAATAAAATTTTTCCAGTCACGTGAAGTTCCTTTTTAGCATACAAATCATTCCTTCTGTTAAAACATGCTTATTCTCTCACTTCATCTTCCAATATGTGCTATCTCCTAAAACAATAAAATTTTCTCGCATTTCCTTGGAGAGTCCACTATGCTGTCTCCTATGACAATAAAATTTCCTAAGACACCATTGTTTATATTACCACGTCATTTGAATCAGTTTGTCGAAGAGACATCATTTGATCTTTTTTCCCCTGGTAGATGGAGGTTCATTTGGTCTTGTTAACTTTAGACATGTTTACTTAGATCTTATTTTAGTTGCTCTGTGAATGCTAATTAAATTCCCAATTAAAGGTACCCGTTTCCTACATTAAAATTTTTTATTACTTTTTGACAACGATTCTTTTTGTTTTTTCCTGGAGAGATCCTCAAATGGCTCTTTGTTGGTGCTAAATGTTAGTATGATTATTTTTTTTTGGGTTCCAACTTCTATATTAAAAGTGTGCATTAAATTTTGATCCCATTTATCTTTAAATGGTCTTAATAGCATCACTTAGTTGTCCGGCTTTTGTAGGGCTCAGAATGGAAAGAGAAAGCAGAAAATCTAGAACAAGAACTTCAGCAATTCTACAAAGCTCAAACACGATTATCTGAGCAACTTGTGATTGAAGTAGCTGAGTCCAGAGCTTCAAAAGCTCTGCTGCAAGAGAAAGAAGCTGAACTTGCTGAGTTGCAGAAAGAGTTGGCACAGAAAAGGTTTCCTTTTCTCTTACTATTTATTGCCAGCCCATAAGATGTAAGAAACACTGTGAGAATTTGTTTGAATGATTGAAATATATATACATTCTTCAGGGATGATTATTCTCAACTAAAGGTTGACTTAGAAGAGAAGATTAAGGCTTTGGATTTAATTCTTTCTGAGAACCAGGAACTCCGAGTGCAATTGGAACAGATGACAATTAAAGCTAAAACTGCAGAGACTGAGAACAAGATGCTGGTTGATCGCTGGATGTTACAAAAAATGCAGGATGCTGAACGGCTTAATGAGGTTTGATGTTAATCTATGCAAAAGAAATTTGCCCTTTTTATTGGCCTTTCTGTTAGATAAAGTTGTTATAACTAACTGAAGCTTCCATGTCTAACATGGTTCAAACATTACCTCCCAAAGGAAGTACTAGTCTTCATTCCCGAAACCTGCTGTCTGCCTATCTCCCAGATTTTCTTCTTCCTCTCTTTCTTCTCCCAGCCTCTTGCTCCTCACCATAAAACTCAAAAACAAACCATTAATCCTCAATTATTCAAAAGTGCCAACAGAGAGAAGGCCTTACTTTTTCTGATCATTAAACTTTGAAGAACTTAAGAGGTGCCACTGAAAACAGAAACGTATGCACCATCTGATGCTCATAATTTGATGAAAAAACTACCAAAAATTCTTAGTAATTTCTGGAATCAGGTTACATACATAGTTTAGAGGACTCTCTACAAGTATAAGAAAAAGGAAATTAATTAGAAAGGGCAAAGCATTAGAGGCACCAAGGGTGACAGAGGCACTCAAACTCAAGAGAAAAGCCATTGACAGAGTTGTTTTTGCTAAACAGTGTTTGGACAAAACTTAATTGCCTGAAAGAATTCATATCATGGATTGTTTTTGCCAATTAACTAGCTTAATTGACAATGGAGGAGAGGGAGGACTGGCTCCGATGTTGTTACTCTTCTTTCTTCATCACGACTAGTTATTAGTGCCAAAATTGTTCACATGGTCATAATGTTCTGTTTTCTGTTGCATTTCTTCAAAAAGGTGGAGACTGCCCGGCCTTACAGTAATTGTGAAAATTTGAGCATTTAATTCCTGAAATGAGAAGATCGATCAGTCTGAGGCTCTAGTCAAGACCTAAACCCCCACAAACAGTATTTTTCTTTACATTTTTCCATACGATTTTAGGTTTACGAGTTTACCATTTTCCCTTATCTTCAATATCTCTTAGTTACAGGATTTATGGATTGTGTTTTTCTTTTATTCCACTAATTTAGGCAAATGCACTTTATGAAGATATGGTTGACCGTCTCAAGGCAACTGGTTTAGAAAGCCTTGCTCGGCAGCAAGTAGATGGTATTGTCCGCCAAAGTGAAGAAGGTGCAGAGTACTTTGTAGAGTCAACAGTTCCCTCAATGTGTAAACACCGGATACATGCCCATGAAAGTGGCTGTGCTTCTATATTGTTTGAGTACAACACTGGAAAGTTGATCACTGGGGGCCAGGATCGATCAATCAAAATGTGGGATACATACAGTGGATCATTAAGCCGTACCCTTTATGGTTGTCTTGGGTCTGTTCTTGATCTGACCATTACCCATGATAATAAATCGATAATAGCTGCGAGCAGCTCAAACAATTTGTTTGTATGGGATGTCAACACTGGGCGAGTACGTCATACTCTCACAGGCCATACAGATAAAGTTTGTGCAGTAGATGTGAGCAAAATTTCTAGCCGTAATGTTGTGAGTGCAGCTTATGACCGTACCATAAAATTGTGGGATTTGCAGAAAGGTTACTGCATTAACACAATTGTTTTTCCAAGCAACTGCAATGCAATCTGCTTCAGCATGGATGGGCAAACAATATGTTCAGGTCATGTTGATGGGAATCTTCGGTTATGGGATATCCAATCAGGAAGGCTACTTAGTGAAGTAGCTGCACACTCATCTGCTGTTACTTCAATCTCCTTGTCTCGAAATGGTAACACAGTGTTGACTAGCGGGAGAGACAACTTGCATAATTTATTTGATATTCGCTCTTTGGAAGTTTGTGGCACATTAAGAGCCAGTGGGAATAGAGTGGCATCAAATTGGAGCAGTCCTGCATCAGTCCAGATGACAGACACGTAGCTGCTGGTTCTGCTGATGGATCTGTATATATATGGTCAATATCTAAAGCGGATATAGTGAGCACTCTGAAGGAACACGCTTCTCCTGTCCTTTGTTGTTCATGGAGCGGGCTTGGAAAGCCTCTGGCATCGGCTGACAAGAGTGGAATTGTTTGTACCTGGGCCTGACCTGAGGCTAAAGAGTCGCTCATATGCAAACTACGATCCAAGGGAAGTCTCTGTCTGGCTCCTTTACTTGTTCTTTGTCCTTCAAATTGCATACAATATGAAAGAGAAAGAAAGAGTGGTTGTCAAGAAAAGAAAAAGTGGAGTTACATTGTTTACGGTTTGTTGCACCAAAAGCAGGGATGTTTAAGTGCAAAGATGGTGATCATTGTGAAAATGTTGAAGAGGGTTGAAGTTATAACATTTCGGTCGAAGTTGCCTTATGATTGTTAATGTGATAAAAAAGGCAGATCTGTTAGGACTCCCCATACGTTTTTCTGTGTAGATATACAATGAAAATTGAATCAAGAACAGAATGTAAATATTGAAAATAGACCTAGAGAAATGATATTTGCATTTAGAACTTATACTTCCATGAAGTTTATGATCAAGCATTTGAAAAACTGCAATAGCAAACAATTACAATTTATAATCTGTAAGTTTCCTAATTTTTTGTGTGTGTGGAAAATCCTGTTTTTTTAAACTCTTTAAGAGTTAGGGGTTGTCTGGTTGGTTGTTAAAAATGCCAACAGGTTTTCTTGCAACCTCGTCTGGCATCCTACATATTGCTCCTTCTCAATCTCTCTCTTATACCAGTTAATTTAATAAATTTAGGATTCTTAATGTTTGATTAATAAATTTAGAGTTTAAATCCAAATCAGATTAGTATGTATTTTTAACTAAAAAGAGATAAATTCCATTTAATCAGAATGTATAATATTAAATAAAAGTATTATGTTTATTGATTAAGAAATTCTTTATTTTAATGGAAGTGTTAAAATTTAAATGGAAAAAAGACAATGAGTCAGCGTTTATGTGGTAAGGGTGAAGTTGAACTACTCAATTGCATATTGCTTTTTCTATTAGGTTAAAAAACCACGTAAAAAGAATATAGACAATGAGGAAAAGCTTATGTGTCTGTCTGATTACAACAAAATGCAAGTTTTGTTTTGAAGAAATTAAGATTGTTGAAATATCTTCAAATGTTTTATATTTTGGTGTAAAATGGATTTATTTTTTCAAATCAATCAGATAATTTATTAATTATGAATTTTTACCCATTCCTAATACCGGCGGACTCAGCATGTTAGAATAATAACTATCAGCTTTATTTCTTGACGAGAAAGAAAATTAATTTTAGAAAAATGTTGTTCGGTAATTTTATTTGGCTACTATGCATGAGAACATGTGGTGTTTGGAGATAAAAATAGCATACAATAATTTATAAGAATCAGATTTGTACAAAGAGCTTAAATCTGAGTTAGAAAACATATATGGTTCTAGTTGCCTGAACCCCTTTGCCGGAGATATAGTCGCAGAAACAGAGTTAGTCCATCCCTTCTATTTTCTTCAAGAAAAATTGGGATACACGAATCCCGTTGAGCTGTTTTCTACATGCCTAAATTTAGAGTATTGAATTTTAGTTATTTATTTATTTATTTATTTTATTTATGCAAGATTAATAGACTATTAAAAAATTGGCCCCAAAAAAAAAAAAACCAAAAGAGATTATAGCATTGAAAACATGCTAACTGAATTTTCTCATTATTTGCGATCATTGTTACGAAAAAGGGAAATATGCTAACCGCCCATAGCAGTGGAAGTCGAGATCAAGATTCTTGTTGACCAAAAGATATATTACATAAATGGTCAACGATTGGTATGTAATGAGCCTAAATGGGATGAACTGAAAAAAAGAAAAAAGAAAGCCCATACTGCAGAGACTCCTAATGCTGCTCTTGTGATTGGTTGGCAGTAGAATGAGCACGAGATGATGAGGCCCCATCAGAAGATTGATTTGTAACTTGTCCTTGTTGTGGAACAGGGACCAAAACCATACCAAGACTTGAATTCTGGTGTCTGAATGCCCATAATTGTACTTCACTACCAACTCCCAGTGTTTCATTGTTCCTTTGGGTTACGCTAAACCAGCTGCCTATCAGTGCATAGGGCATGTTATTCATATGCCACCTCTTCAAAGGCAACGTACAAGTGGCGTCAACACAAGGCTCTATTAGAGTAACTTCTATGCTTTCTTTGGAAGCCAACTTCATCTCCTCCTCTGGAAAAAGGAACGGGCTCTTCACTTCACCCGCTGGTATCAAAAGCCGATTCTGCGACCTTAGCAAATCCGACTTGAAGATCGTCTTCCGCATAACAAATTTGATATCTCTACCGCCCATCTCCAGTACACGACTCTTAAATGGTTCAGCAATTCCGTTGGTATCTCCGATGAGTCTGGTTTAGGTTCTTGCGGATCTAGCCCTTTTTCCATCTCCTTCATCTGACTCAAACGCCTTTCCGAGAGGAAACTTTCAGCTCATCCTCATTTTTTCCT